ATTAAGGTCGTAACGAATTGATATTAGACATGTTGATGAGGCGCTCTCTAAGATCAAGAAACCTATTTATCTATTTTCCCATAACGAATTGATAGAAGGAGGGTCAAAAGGTGACGTAAAAAGTGGTTAATAGTTTGCTAAAGCTATTTAAATATGTGAAAATGGCTTGCAAAACTCTTCTGAATAGTAGCACATTTGCATTAAAATCTATTAGGCGTTTTATGTCTATCCTGATTCATTTGTACTCCTGAATATTCCTTTGTCAAAGATTCAAATATTGACTTTTAATGTGTATTAATATATGAGTAATTATATTTTTTTTTATTGATTTTGTGTTTTGTTATAGTCTATTTCATAATTCAACTTGCCGAATCTATATATCTTGCTTTTAATTGGATTGTTAATATGATATATTATTTTTCTAGAGTTGATTATCGATAGAGATGATTTAATGATTTAATGACGTTAATTTTTTTTTGACATGAACACAAATAGAAATTGTTTTTTGAAATTTTATAAGCAAATTGAAGTGAAAAGGTAAATAATTTTTTTTAATTCTCAAATTTTAAATTTCAGCTTCAAAGTGAAATTAAAAAAGAAAAGAAATTATGGCCAAACTTATTTTTTCAGAATTCAACTCTCAAAAAAGTAATAATTCATGGTCAAAAAGGGTAAAAAGGTGATGGATAAGACGTCAAGGAAGAAAGAGAAAGAAAAAAAATAATTTTTTTTAGCAAAGACAAGAGATGCTGTGAAAAAAATCAACAATTATTGTTGGCTTTCACATGCGTAAGAGGAGTTAACATATTTTTGTCCTATTTGATGGCACAAGGTGATATAAGAGATCAATCTCTCTTCAAATTTTATTGATAAAAATTAGTGGAAAGCAAATGTTAACAATAAATTAGAATAAAACTTAAATTTTAATATATAGATTAAAAGATAACTATTTTAAAAATTAATACCACGCGAAGTGCGGCTAAGTTTACTAGTTCTATAATATTTTGGCATTCCCTGTTTTCATTTTGAAAAACAAATGAAATGTACTCTGATTTGCTAAATATGATAAAGGATTGGATGAATATATATTTATACTAGATACAAGTGTCCGTAGTAGCACGGACCCAATATCTTAGTATTTTTTTAATTTTAATTTATGTTATATATGTAGAATTTTAGAAAAGTTGAATAAATTTAATATGATTTTGTTTGTGCAAATTTATTGTGAAGAGGTCCATTAAGATGTCTATAATTAAAGTATTTTTTCGTCATCGACTGTTAAATTTTACTCAATATAGTTACAAAATATAAACAAATATTACCGACATTCAAAATAATAAAGCAATAACTAAAGAATATGAATTTAAAACTAAAAGTCATAGCTAAAACGAATTTCATAATTTCGAAAAAATTATACACAAATTAAATTATAGCAGAACAAAAAAAGTAATTTTTTTTTTTTGAAACATGCTAAAGCAGGCACGTTGATGAAGACGTGTGCCTGTTTCAGCGTGAAATCTTGAATTTAAAACTAAAAATCATAGCTAAAAAGGATTTCATAATTTCAAAAAAATTATACACTAATTAAATTAAAGTAGAACAAAAGAAATACTCCCTCTGTCCCAATTTATATGACTCACTTTCCTTTTTAGTCAGTCCCAAAAAGAATGATACATTTCTATATAAAGTAACAATCTAATTATAAAATATCTATTTTACCCTTAATGAAATGATTTACAGCCACACAAATTTCTATCATTGATTTTGGACCAGAAGTTTTAAAAATCTTCCTTTCTTTCTTAAACTCCGTGCCGAGTCAAAGTACCTCATATAAAATGGGACGGAGGGAGTAATTTTTTTTAATTTTTTTTTTCTGAAACACGCTGAAGGAGGCACGTCGATTTTAAAAGTCATAGCTAAAAAAGATTCCATAATTTTGAAAAAATTATACACTAATTAAATTAAAGTAGAACAAAAGAAATAAATTTTAATTGTTTTTTCAGCAACATGCTGAAGCAGACACGTTAACGGAGAACTAAAAGTCAGAGCTAAAACGGAAAATTATACACTAATTAAATTAAGTAGAACAAAAAAAATAAATTTTTGAAGTTTTTTTTCGAAACACGCTGAAGCAGGCACGTCGACGTGCCTGCTTCAATAACTCCCTATATAAGAGAATATATACTAGTTCAATAAATACATATAGGTAAAAAAAAATATTCTAAAAGAAAACAATTAGAAGTAGAAAAAAATATATGGAGACTGATATAAACTTTTCTTCATTTTTTTTCCTGAGAGGATCTAATATAGTTAAATTTCTTTACAATAGCTTAGCTTGTTGATATTCTTTTTTACCATTTATAATAATGGGCTATTATATATCTAAAATAACTTTGGATATTTAAATTTATTCCTTTATCATAGATATAAAAATTATCCAATTTTTATTATTATTATTATTATTATTATTATTTAATGAGTATTATATAAGATTTCTCTAAAAGCAACATTTCTTTGAGTCTTGACTTTTAAATTAGAAATTTGCTTAGAAATACTTTATCAATTTCATTAGCATAATATCTAGTGTGTTTAGGTATAAGATTTAAAGATAAATATTTCTATTCAGTCAATTTTTTATTTCATTCTTTCCATATATGCCACATAACATATATTATAACATTAGCAATATAAGAGAGTTGTCACATATTGTTCATAATATCATTATGTCATACAAATTGTAATAATTTTTCATTTAATATATAGTTTGGTGTGTTTATAATTCATTGCAACACCCCATCACACCTGAATTGGCTAAATCTAGTATAGTGGGTCTTGTTTCGACGCGGGAAAAAAACTTTTTAAAAGGCATCTCGGCGAAAGAGGACTGAGAACCATAAGGCGAGCGCCAAAACGCTAGCACAAACTGCTCCCACAGACACACATGATAAGGGGGTGTGGGGACAACCAGGCCACCACTTTTACCAGATATGGGTCTGGACGACCCAAGAGCCCACCACTAGAACCCAACCCTTAAGAGGCTAAGGTCCAAGGGGCTACCGCAGGAAATAAGCTTCACCTGTAACCTTAAGGAACACAAATATATATATATATATATGTTTTTATTTATTCTCGAAATTCAAAATAGACATGTATACTTACTCAATCAACATCAATAATAACCACTTTTATTCATTATTTTGCTTAACAAACAATTTGACAGGTACAAAGACTTTGACTACTTCCCGAAGCAGCACAAGTACAACTATGAGGCATTTTACTTGCTGGCCACTGAGATAGAGCTAGAATTCCACAATCAATATTAGCACATACGTCATTAGCTGTGAAAGTTCCTGGGCAAAATTTAAGATCACCTAATACAAAACAATGAGAAGACTACATATTAAACGATATGATTAAAAAGATGAATGATGAAAATAGATATTTGAACGCGATTGTAGATAAAATAACTCCATATGCATTGAAAGAAAAAAGGCATACCTAGTGAATGGTTAAACAAAGTGAAAAAAATTGTCATAGCGAAAATAAAAGACATAATGAAACTCTTCATTTTTCTTCACTATTGAACTTTTGTATGATATGAAAGTATGAATTGTTGATACCATTTAGAACCTTATATAGGGCCTACAGAAAGATATGAAATTATGGTATTAATTCATATAAGACTAGTAAATCTGTAATTTATAAATTACTTACCAAAAAATACAAATGAACTTATGGTATTAATTCATATAAGGCTAGTAAATCTGTATTCTTAAATTACTTGCTTATAAGGTATAAATGAGCTTAGGATAATAAGGAAAGTAAATCTGTATATTTAAATTCATTGCTACAAAAATGCAAATGACACTATGGTATTTATTTAAATAGTGTAGTAATCATGTAATATTGAGTTACTTGCCAAAAAAAATGACACAAAATAACTATTTTGTGCCCATTGGGTACCTACCAAGATAATAGTGATAGTGTATAAATTATTAAATTTTAATTTTTTAATATTATTCAAATTCTATGATATTTACGTTGATTCTTGCTTTTTATTTAGTCAGAATACCTTGAGATCCTCTTCAACTTGACATGTTTCATACAATACTTAAGACGAGAATTTTGAGTTTATATATTCTATAAATGAGACTTATTAGTTTCGTAATAAATTATTCACAAATATTAAATAATAAATACATTTTTAACACAAATAAAAAATCTATGTGAAAGTTACTAATTTTGTTACATTCATAAGTGATAACTTTGCTTCTTTACATTGCATATTTTTTTTTTTCTAAGCCATATATGCCTCTCCTTTGATCTTTGAGTTTCGATAACCTCGACTATTTGACCTATTCACCGAATGAAATTACATTGTCACTATCTAATTTTTTTTTAAAGTCATGATGACAGTAATTATAAAACAAATCAAAATACAATAATCAAATATGATAAAATCTAATGTGATTAAATAAGTCTAACAAAAATAATGCAGGAAATCACTTTGAAAATATAACAAAAGATAAATCATGATCCAAGACCAAGTTTAACAAGTCATAAAAGACTAAAAAATCTACAAATAATATATATATATAACGTCGGAGGGTTATCAACCCACTTATTTATAAGTTCAACTTATTTTATTCTTCTCAAATTCAGCTCAATCCATCTATTTGATACCTTTATTCAGAATGGTAAAAAAAACACTTTTAGGGTGTGTTTGGTATGAAGGAAAACATTTTCTACTCACCAACCAAACATGAGAAAATAAGTCAAAAATCAACTTGTTTTCCAGGAAAACACTTTCCATGGAAAACATTTTCCTTCATACCAAACACACCCTTAGTGTCTATCGAGTAATTTTGTTGAATAACTCTATTCCTATGGAACCTAATAACTCCACACGTCGGAGGGTGAGGGTGGGGTGGGGTGAACATTTAATGTATGGAGGATTGTTTAGATGTTGGTTATGAGCGATAAAGTATAACTCCATAGTCTTAATAATATTAACTAGTAATCTGAAAGAAAGTTTACAATCTAAAAATGCTTAAAGGTTCAAAAGTTTAACTGTTAATGCTTTTTGCTATTTATTTACTATGAATCCTGTGACTTCATATCAAATTTTACCAAGAAAGTTTATTAAAACCTGCAACTCCCCCCCAAGCTAGCGTTAGTACCATTAGATGGTAGTAGCTAGGACATTGCAAGATCGAGCCATGACTTTTGTCCAATCGATTAGAACTTGGCTAATCGTCTTATTGTTGGCATTGCAAAGAAAGCAGCATGCATTTTCTGCAATTCCAATGTGATGTAAGTACGAGTCGTGGAGAGTCTGTAATGGCAACAGCGCCAAGATAAAATAAATTATCTTGCAGGGTGAGGATTGATGAGGAGAAATCTCGAACAGGGCTTGCTGCTACTACCAATGCATCTACAAAAGAAAATTAAAGTCATTAATGAATCAGCATATTATGATTAGTATAAGAATCAACCAACCAAAACATACAGCAGAACTTGTTAAAATAATTACATATCTCAGTAAAAAGGCACAGCTATAAAGGAAATAACTTCTTTCTTTTCTGCTAATTTGAGAACACTTTAACACATAATCATCACATATGCACATTGCCTTTTCTTTAGAAGAATGCCTGAGAATAATAAAAGAAACATACTAAGAGCTTTTATTGGTTTATGATGTGGCTCTTCACATTTTCCTGGTGAACAGTCCATTTTGTTCTTTCATTACAGATCGATTAACACCAGTTGTGGATATATTGAGTAAGATAATCTTTTCTCGAACTCCATAACATAGCATTTCTAATTAAAAGGTTGTATAGTGAGGGGGGAAAGGGCTCAACTGCTCAAGAAAAATAAAATGGTTTGGGAGTGGTTTGGTAGGTCAATCATCTGTCTGTCATGCACACATTGTGCTCCTATCCAAGTTTGACCAATTTTCTTAGCTTAGTACAACCATATGGTTGAATATAAAACTGCTTCGCATAATCAAATGGCACAAGGTTAGATTTGACATAAAAATTCATAACATACTTATTCATATCAGTTTTACGCAAAAGTAATATTCTGAATTCACTGCAATGTACTCTAGTGTTAAGCTTTTAATAGAACAACAAATGATGTGAACTTTTAGCATTTGGGGGGGTCAGAATAAACATATAATACTGAACATACAGATGTTCAAGGAAACCAGTCGTTATTATAGAAAGAGAATCCAAAAGCTAGTTAAGTAGGATCACCACAAGGAAGATCATACAACAACACTTTGTGGACTTTTAAAAGTCCACTTATTTGGCAAAAAGTACGCAAAAGTGTTCCTATTTAAAAATTTAAGGGTAGTTATGGAACTTTGCAAAATCTTCCCATAGTTCTTAAACTCCATGCCCAGTCAAACTACATCACATAAATTTGAACGGGGAAGGGGGGGGGGGGGGAAGTTATTTCAAGATCCT